AGCCACTGGCCACTGCCCAGGAGTCCCATCCCTGTCCCCAGGGGTCTTCCCAGGAAGGCTAAGTTGCTGCTACAGTGAATGGCAGCTCGGGCACGAGGCCAGAACCTTGAGGAATCAGGAGGCTGCTGCCCAGATCCAGGCCCCAGGTCCTGTGAGCACTGGGCCTGGGCTTTCACAACTCTCCGACCTGGGGAAGCAACTTCCCGGGGTTGGTGTGACAACTGAAGAGCGTCGAGGACAAGGTAGGGGCTCGCTCTGTCCCTCAGTCTTCCCACCTGTAAAATGGGGGTGGGCTGTTGCATTAGATGGCAAACAAACCCTGCCCAGGCCCACCGCCCTGCCCCAGTCGAGTTCCCGCACGGTTCTCCAGGAAGCTGCTCTTCTCCTCCCCCCTCCCCTTCAGAGGCTTATCAGGGAGCTGAGATAGGCCCCCTCTTCCCCCAGCCACCCACAGAGTCAGAGCCCCTGGGGAAAGGGCAGAATCCTCACGCTCTGCCTCCCAAAGCCCCACAGATGGGGGTGGGGGGCCCGTTACACACCACCCCCAGATTATAGTTCTTTAAGGATAGAAGAGTGTCTTGTTTTGCTCTCCCCAGAGCTTGGCTCCTAGGCGACATTACATTCCACTAACCCCTGCCATATGCCACCTCTTCTGGAAAGCCTTCCTTGATACACACCTGTGGCGAGGGTGACTCTGGAAAACATCTCCAAGTGGGTCTGTATCATTTTCCACCTTGGAAACTTGGCCTTTCCATTAGATAAAAATTTCTTGGGTTGGGGACATGCCTCACGTGCAAGTTGCCTTGGGTTCAACCCCAAAATAAATAAAACAATAAAAATCTGAGATCAGGTCTTTTTAACCAGCTCTCTGCATGAAAGCAGGATGGGAGGCAGGCCAATGTCCACAGGGAAAGGAGGGTCACAGCCTCCTTCTCTCTTCACTGCCCCCCAGGGGTGCTGGCAGGGGCGCTGCCCACCACAGTCTCCCCCAAGTTAGTGAACCTCTAACACTGCACCATGGTGCTGCCTCACAACCCCTGAGACCTAGCTCCCCTCTGCCCTCAGGCAAGAACCCCCAATCTTTAGGAGGGCCACAGCCCGTGGTGTTCAGGGGTTACTCCCACCTCTGTGCTCAGGAATTGCTCCCAGTGGTGCTGGAGCTAGAACCCGGGCCTGCCCGGTGCCCTCAGCCCGTTGAGCTCTCTGACCCTCGACCCCCAAATCTCTAACATGACTCTCCCTGCCGGCACCTGCCCTGGCCATCTCCTACGCCTCACTCCCCCCTGCCCCCAAGCCTGGCACCCAGAAAACACTGTGTTTCGCCCCGTCTTGCTCAGACAGCTTCCCTCCGCCCAGAACGTGCTTTCAGGCTCTGCTCCCTCCTGAGGCAACAGTTTTAATGTCGTGTCCTCAGGGAGCCTCTCTGATCCCGAGGCCAGGCTCCCGGCTCCGCTCCCCAGCACCCTGCATGTCTCCTAGGTAACCGTAATTGCACTGGCAGTTTTCTGCTCCGAATCGGCCTGGTTGGTCTGTCAGTCTGTGAACGAGACCCATCAGCCTCACTCCCTGGCACGGACTGCACAGCCCAATGCCCCCCAGGTGTGGTGAATGAACTAACGAATGACTCTGACCACAGCAGGCCTGCTTTCCTATTTAACAAAAAAAGGAGAATTTGGGAGGAAACACAAGATGTTGTCAGAACTACCTGCTGAGGGGTCCTCCCTGCTGGGAACATCAAAGCCCAATTCAGCTGGGTCGGGGTTGGCTGATGCCAGGGTACAGCCCAACCCACCTGCAGCCCTCTCACTCCTGCAGTTAGGTTTCTCCCCTGACCGGGTTTGCACGCTCCAGTTCTGCCGGGAAGGATCTGTTCCTTAACAGCATTGAACAACATGCCTCTTTACCCAAGATGGCAGTGATGCAAGGAAATGCAGCAAACTAGGTCCTAGCATAGACACTGACTCCCCCAAAGAGAAAAGGACCCCTGTGGGCTGAGAACCCCACACTGTTTGAGACCTGGCTGGCCTTGCATTTTCAAACAATAACTTCCCCTTAAGCTCTTAATTCTATATGCCAGACACAGTAACAACAAAGTCTCCAATGGAGACGTTACCGCTGGAGCAAGCTCTTAATACTTTGCAAAGTATCTCTACATTGTATCCTAGATTGTAAGTCTCTGATAGGTTGAAGGAAATCAACTTCCCTTGTTAGGAAGGGAGGTTCAGAGAGTGGGTTTGGCGGACTCAAGGTAACACAGCAAATGGTGGCACCGCCAGTGTTCAAACCCAGGGACTGGTCGCCCTTTCCTCCTTGGAGCGCTTAAAGAACAATCCCACCACTTGGTCAGGGTTTTAAGCTCAGTCCCTAGTGTGGAATATGATGGAACATATTCAGGGGACCAAAACAGACGGGGAATGCTAGGTCGGACCTCTGTCCCCGATACCCACTACCCTCCAGAAACAACTGTCTGCCTGGTATCCCTCCAAATATCCCAGAGATTTGAGCCTGCTCTGACATTATTTTGCTGAGTGACCCTGGGAAATCTTTACCTCTCTGGGTCTACTGCTGAGAATGAGGACAACTGGAGATAGGATATCTTTCTTCCTTAGAGACCTTCATCCTCTAGGGGATGTGCTGGGGGTTCGTTTGAAGCTTTTAAGAACAGCACTGACTCCCTGCCAGAGTTACAAGCTGGGTAGGGAATGAGGGACCAGGGGGAGACACAGCCAGGACAACAGGAAACAGCCCACATGCTCTCCAAGCAGCCCTTGAGGAACAGAACCCGGGGGCCAGGGGAACTCGCTGGATTTGTTTAAAACCCCGGAAGCAGGAGCTCTAAGGAATAAACACGTCAGCAGCCCTGCGTCACCCCCACCTCAGGAATGAGCACAGGGACTGGGAGTCTGGGGAAAACCAGAACCACAGAGCCCTCATTCCCCCCACCAGTGAATTGGGTCCAGAGTCCCAGGGGAGCAGCACGCATGTCCCTTGCCACTGGGTCCCTTCCTCAGGTCTTTCAGTCCCTCTCTGACCTCCCAGGGGCCCTAACCTGCACTCCTCCTTCACTGACAGCGAGTTCCCATCCTGGGATCGTCTTTCCCCTCCAGATACATCTGCCAAGTGTAGCACTCACTGAGCTCCCCCGTCCCAGCACACTGTATCAACCTCTCTCCAAGGGGGAGCACCCACGGCCTGAGAATCCACAAAGACACAGAGGGCAGCTCTGCCTCATGGGGCCTGGGTCAGTTCTGATGGGTGAGTGATGACACTGAAGGCACTAAGGGCACTGCCCCCTCTTCTCTCGGACACAGGCTAAGTCCTTGCTAATGGGTTGGATGTCGGGCAGGTTGGATGTCAGGCAGAAGGTACCACTCCAGCAAGATGCTGCCAGGACACCCAAGCAAGGCTTTGTCCACGGGTGATCCTCCCGTCTGACCTCCTGTCTGCCCGGTCAGACCTGCCTCAGCGCCTCACTCTGCTGGGACATGCAGTGAGGACACAAATGGACCAGCCAACGACCCTGAGCAGCCGCCTTAGAGCTGGGGCTCCCACCCGCACCTATCTGCTACCAAAACCCAGGGTCTTCCTGCCATTTGTCAGGCTCCCAAAAAAACATCACCAAGGGGATGGAGCACAGTGGGTAAGGCATTTGTCCTGCACTCAGCTGACCCGGGTTCGATTCCCAGCATCCCATATAGTCCCCCCCGAGCATCGCCAGGAGTAATTCCTGAGTGCAGAGCCAGGAGTAACCCCTGAGCATCGCTGGGTGTGACCCCCTCCCCCTCCCCCCAAAAAAAACCACCACCAAGAGGATGGCCTCTGACTCAGGCAGTGTTTAATAAGGAAGAGGTCCTCTTTCGGAGTAATTTTGATCCCCCCTGACTTGGAGGCAGAGTGAATTTTCCCACTTTAAAATCTCAGTCCCATTCATGACCCCAAATCCTGAGGCCTTCCATGCAGGGTGGCTCCACCGGCAAGGAGCTCCAAGGAGCTTGTAGCAGCCAACACTACATGCCACACTCAGAGGACGTCAGAGAGCAGATTCCTGACCTGGGAGGTAAGAGAGGCCGCTGCTCTCTTAAGGCCTAATTTCAGGCTCACTCTCTAGTGGTAGGAGTGGGGGGTCAAGTGGACTAAAGACAGCCCTGCCCAGAGGAGTGGGAAAGATCGAGGTGTGAGAAGCCCAGACCTTGGCAGAGCAGGAGAACTGGTCTTAGTGAGTTAGGGCAGGCACTTCTCAGGGGGAAAGGGGTCCATCCTGTCCTCCTCCATCCCAGCCCTTCCCGCTGGCCACTTAAAGAGAACTAGAGGCGCTGCCCCCTGCACCCAGGGCACTGGCACATGCCCGCTCAGGTTCAACCTGGGGCCTTGCACCCCCTGAGAGAGGGTCTAAGAGAGGCTCCTGCAGGGGGGAAACCGCCCAACAGACTTGGTCTCTCTGGCGTATAAGGGAACTGGAAAACCTTGGCTTTTCTTCTAGGGACAACCCCATTCCCGAAAACGGTCACGCAAGCCCTGCCTGGACAAAACGGGTCTCTCTGGGCGGACATCAGAAACGTCCCGGGACGCCCCTTGCCCAGCTCCCTTCTCCCCGGGGCCAAGGCCAGCCCGTGGGCCCCCGCGCTCTGACAGCGGCCGACCCGGCTGCCCCGCCTCCACTCTCCACGCACCGACGCCACCGCTGGATCCACAGTCCCCGGGGGCCGTGCCGTGCCTCGGAACGCGCTGGGCGCGGCCACCCACGATGCCGTGAGCGCAACCTCAGCCCACCACCGACCTCAGAGTCGCGGGACGCTCGGGTCCAACTGCACCCAGCCACTTGGGTGCCCCCCTCCCGACGCCGGTTCCGAGCCCAGCCCAGGGTCTCCTCTCCCGGCCCGGTCCGGGGACTCTCCGAGCGCCCCGACGACAACCGCACCGACTGTGCGCGAACACACTGGCCGCCGCCCCGCGCGCTGCCCCGGACCGGGCGCCCAGCCCGCGCCCCGGGCCGCACTCACCATGCTCGCGCTCGGGCGCCCGCCCGCGCCGCTGCTCCCGCCCGACCCGCGCCTCCGCTCGGGCCGCGCTCTCGGACGGCGGCGCGCGCGCCTCTCGGCGGGCCGGCGCGGCTCGGGCGCCGGGGCCGGGGGCGGGCCCGCCCGGGGCCAATGGGAGGGCGCGGGGGCCCGGGCCGCGCAGCCAATCGGGCCCGGAGCTCCGCTAGTACCCGCCCCCTCCAGAACACGCCCCCCCACCCCGCCGCGCCGGCCGCTTAACCCTTGGCGCGCGGGGGCCGAGCGGGGCTGCCCGGACGACGAGCGAGGCGGGCGCGGGGGCTGGGCTCCCGCTTGGGGTTGGGGTGCAGACCTCCGGGAGACCGACCTCGGGACACCGGCCTCGGGAGACAGACAGGCGCGCCCCGGGGAGCGGGCCAGCTGCGTGCGGGGGAAGGTGCGGGAGACCCAGCGACCTTTGTCTCCTGCCTGGCGCCTGCACGGGACTATGACACCAGGGCACTACGGCGGGAGGGGGGGGCGGGGGAGTGTGTGTGTGTGTTGTGTGTGTGTGCATGTGTGTTTGTGTCTGTATGCGAATGTGTCTGTGTGCGTGTATGTGCTTGTGTCTGTATGTGTCTATGTGTCTGTGTTTTTGTCTCCATGTGTGTCTTTGTGGAAGTCTGTGTGCGCGTGTCTGTCTGTTTGCATGTCTGTGTGTGTGTTTGTGTGTGTGCAAGTGTATCTGTGTGCACGTGTGTCTCTGTGTGTGTCGGTGTGTGTGTAAAAGGGAAGAAGACAGAAAAAGCCAGGGGTGGATCCCGTGTGCCAGTATGTTTATGTGGGGGAGGAAGGAAAAATAGAAACTGGCCATATTTGGGATTTGTTATTGCGCACTTCCATGTGTCTCTGTGTATCTGTATCTGTGTGTGTGCATGTGTGTGTGTATGTCTGTGTCTGTGTGTGTGTGTGTATGTGTGTGTGAAAGAGAGAGGGAAGGAGACGGAAAAAGCAAGGGGTGGATCCCAAGTGCCTGTATGTTTATGTGGAGAGAAAAGGAAAGACAGAAACTGACTATATTTGGGATTTGTTAGTGCATGCTTCCGTGTGTGTGTGTGCATGCGTGCATGCTCAAGTGAGAGAAAATAAAGAAGCAAGAGACAGGATGGCTTAGAGACAAAAAGACTGATGTCTTCCCAGATCTGTGCAATTAGAATGCCCGTCAAAGAAACTGTACATGTGTGTTGTTTAAGTGTGTGGATAAAGAGGAAGGAGAGGGTGGCAAGTGTGTGTCTGCTTGTGTAAGATGTGTGAACTGAAGACTAGGAAAATCATTCAGCAAATAAAGCGCTTGCCCTGCACACAACCCGCGCAGGCTCCATCCCCGATACTGCATATGGAGACTCCCAAGCCTTGCAAGGAGTGATTCCTGAGCACTGAGACAGGAGTAAGCCCTGACAGCCTGTGGGTGTGGCCCAAAATCGAAAGAAAACTAAAAGTGTGACATGTAAACTGTATGTCTATGGTCCATTGTGCCTTGGTCGTTGGAGAGACTTTGTGTCCCTGTTATAAACACTTAGAGACCAAATCCTGCGGTTTTGTAGTGTGGTGTGTGCACATGAGCACGAGGATTATCTCTGACTGTAACTCAGTAAAACAGTATCTGCAGCCGTGTATGTTTGTGTGTTTGTGTGTGTGTGTGCATAAGAGAGAGAGAGCGCTTTGTGTGTCGTGAAAGTATGTCTTTATGTGTGTATGTGATAGTATGATAATGTGCTGAGAAAGAGAAACCAAAGTGCAGGGGCCAGATGAGTATATCGTTAGCCAAGACAGACTTCCTGAAGGAGGTGGACTGAATCATTGAAGGAGGAGTGAGAGTTCTTGAGTCCAGAAGTTCTTGAGTCCAGATCTGGGGTGACTTGCCCAGCTGCCATAAAGCAGGGGCACGAGGATACGAGGGCAATGCGCTGGCTGGGGACCGAGGTGCATTCTGGGACAGGTAGCAGGAGCCCCTGGCAGCAGCTGTGCTCCTGAGCTGGTTCAGAATAGTAGAGCGTGCAGAGGAGAGAGATCTGGCCAGGACCCAAAGGACGGTATGTGTGGCAGCCTAGAATGGGGAGACGCTCTGGGATGAAAACGCTCCCCTCTTCCTATCAACAGCACACAGTTATGCTGTATAGAGGGTTTGGAAGGCTCCTCAGAATCCACGAGGCTGGCTGAGTGTGGCTTAGAAGAAGAGGAGAGTAGAGAGTAGTGGAAGTTTGGCTACACCTTAAAAGCAACCACATCTGAAATCAGAGAGGTAGAACTGTGGGCAGGGTGCTTGGCTTGCACATGGCTGACCCGGGTTTGATCCTGGCATTCCAAATTGTCCTCTGAACCTGCCAGGAGTGATTCTTGAGTGCAGAGCCAGGAGTAAGTACTGAGCATTGCTGGATGTGGCCCCCAAATAAACAAAAGTCACCACATCTTCTCTGGACCCCTTCACCCCTCCAATAGAGGGTGTGACTTATCCCATGAGCTGCCACTCCACTGGGGTCTTTCTGATGCTTGGAAAGACCTTCTGAGTTGCATGAGGAAAAGAAATTGAAGCCCACCCCAGTCTATTCTCACCCGCAGTGGGGCTGTGAGCACCTCGCTGTTCTCCTCTGTAAATGGGATCTGTAATCCTGCCCACCTCTCTGTACGAATGTGAAGACTGAACAAGTTAACACACAGACAGGCCCTTTGTAGGCTACAAACCACTAGGTAGTGTCACATCATCAGTGCTTCGTGCATATGAAGTTCTAAATAAGCAAAAGTCATCATGTAGTCAGAAGATAGCTTTGTCCCTTACCTTGAGGGACAGAATGGCTGGAAGGGAGTCACAGGTGAGGGGAAATTTCTGGGAACTGACGAAGCTGTTTCCAGAGGAGGGGTTGGGTACAAGGGTGTGTCAGGTATGTTGAGGTTCTTCGTTTCTGTGTGTTTTTCTGTGGATGTCATATGAAAACCTTGCTTCAGTTAATCACTTAATCACTTAACTTCCCGTTAATCATCGATTTTCTCGAGCGGGTGCCAGTAATGTCTCCATTTGTCCCTGTTGTGTGCTAGTGTAGCCCAATGGCGTCTGTTCACTCTAGGAATATGAAGAGCCTCAAACCGATCGTTCATAATCTTGATGAAGAAGTCTGACCATCTGGTAGGTGAGCGGCCACGTGGTCTTTTGACATCCCATGGAATCCAGTCTGTAACAGCTCTAGTCCAGCGGTCGTCTTTAAATCTCATTACGTGACCAGCCTATCTGATTTTTGACACCTTGGCAAACGAGACAGTGTTCCTGATTCTTGATCGTCGACGGATGTCAGAACTCCGGATTTTTTCTCTCATTTGAGTGAAACGTGATATTCCAAGCATAGCTCTTTCAATTCTTCTTTGGGAGACCTGAATAGTGTTCTCATCCTGTTTGCGTAGGGCCCAGGTCTCTGAGGCGTATGTTAATGCAGGAAGAACAGTGGAATCCAAGAGATGTGCCCGGAGCAGGAGATTCTTCGTCCTCTTAGCTATTTCTTTGACGCTCTTGAAGGCATTCCAAGCTGCTCTCTTCCTCCTGCGCAACTCAGGTGCCAGGTCATTTGTCATGTTGACTTCTCGACCTAGGTACACATAGCTGTTGCATTCGGAGATGGTCGTTCCGTTGAGAGTGAATGGGGCATCAGGAACGAGGCTGTTTCTCATAAACATTGTCTTCGTAAGATTCAGCTGTAGTCCTACCTTTCCACACTCACGGTCAAAGTCGGTCAGCATTTGTGCCGCTTGGCTGATGTTTGGTGTTATTAAAACAATGTCATCAGCAAAGCAGAGGTGGTGTAGTTGCCGACCATCTATCTTCACTCCCATTCCTTCCCATTCCAGTCGTCGCATGGTGTTCTCGAGGGTGGCACTGAAGAGTTTCGGTGAAATGGTATCACCCTGCCTAACCCCTCTGTTGACATCAATGATTACTTCTTTGTAGAATGGTGAGATCCTGGTAGTGAATCCGCAATACAGCTCACGGAGGATCTTGATGTATTGGGCTTGAATGCCCTGATTGGCTAGGGCTTCAATGACCGCTTCCGTCTCAACAGAATCAAAGGCCTTCTTTAAATCAATGAACGTTAGACAGAGCGGCATCTTGAACTCCCGAGAAACCTCAATGAGCTTGGTTATCGTGTGGATATGGTCGATGGTGCTGATGGTGAGAAGGATGAGAACCTTGCTTCAAAAAGAAAAAAGACCCCACCTCAGATTCACCATAACAAGGCACCCAGCTCTGCAATTCCTGAACTCTACATGCCCCGACAGCATCCTAGCTCCTAATTTCACTCTTCTAACCGCACAGAGTAGAACCACAGCAAGCCTGATGGGGAAGACATGTAGAAGCCCACCAAGCTCAGTGAGTGAAAATAAGAACACAGAGGGCTCCAACAGCACCAACCAGCTCAGATAATGACTTTAGGACACTGCTGTGAGGATGCTCAATGAGATCAAAGAAACAATAGCACAGGTAGTCAGGAAAGCCAGCAGTGCAGAAAAAAAGAATGAAAACCACAAGCAAAAATGAAGAGCATGGTAGGTGGTTTAAAATACTCAATAGAAGCTCTGAACAGCAGATTAACAGCAGCTGAGCAAAAGATCAAGGAGCGCCAAGATAAGATGAAGGAAACTGCTAGAAAACAACAGAAGGTGGGAAATACACTGAAAAAAAATGAACAGCATACCAGAGAGCAGCATACCAGCTCACTCTGGATGAGCTCAAGGAGAACAATATAAGAATCATCGGAGTCCCTGAATGAGTGACAGGAAGGAAAATTGGATGAAGCAGCAATATTTAAAGAAATCATAGACAGGAATCTCCTAAACTTGAGGATTATGGCCACCAATATCCAAGAGCCCTGAAGGGTCCCAGAGAAAATAGACCTAACAGGGAAAACTCCAAGACACATCATACTCCAAATGAAAAACTTGGAAGAAAGAGATAGAATATTAAGAGCCGCAAGATCAATAAAAGAGATCCCAGAAGAGTCACACCAGATCTCTTAAGTGAGACTCGATAAACTAGAAGGGATTGAAGGATACAGTATAAAAACTCAAAAAACGAGTACATCACTAAGAATACTCTATCCGGA